GAAGCCTTAGCCATAACATGCCAAGTATGAGGAAATTGTTTTGAGCAAATGACGCCAAAATACGACGAATACACTTTCGAACATGTGACGTCCCCCGCGCAAATTTTGTGTGATAATTTAAAAACGAGACTTTGGCCATTTTCTTCTTCTCTAACAAAGATGTGATAATGAACTGGACGAAGTTAGAGCTCTCAAAGTACAGTCTAGAAATCTAAACTGTTCCATTTTTTATTGTTAGTGTTGCGTCAAAGAGGCTGCTCACTATAGTGAGCGTCTTTGGAAACTACCTCGGAGGACTATGGCACCCCAGTAAATAACCTATATGAAATGAACACTAAGGAGTCACTGTCTGTCACGAATATTTTGGTGTCTGAAGATAAGGGTTCTAGTGCTGTACAGCTGCAAAAATAAAAAGAGAATGTTGCACTAGATAGGCGCAAGCCTGCTGCAAAATTATTAATGAATAAAATTGTGCTATAGGAAACAACACATATTGAAAGACGTACCAAGTGTATGTAAGAAAAACGGCACTGATATACATTGACGTACTCAAGAAATTGTATTTAAAATACGCACTTTATGCTGGCAATCGTAGTATCCACACGTTTTGTTTTTTTACATCTAACTAATCTGTTTTCTAACTTTACCACTTGCTTTCAAAATTTCAGCAATTCTATACACTTGGCCGCAGTTCAAACACATGAAATAAGTAAATTCACGCTCGCAAAATGCCGTCATATGCTCATTGATTGGGTATTGGAAAGATACCTCTTTCTCGTTCCTGTCCATGAAGATGATGCAGCTGGTGTTGGCCGTGGCGGCGCGCTGGCTAGGATGCTGGGTCTGGGCGGGTTCTTGCTTCATGCTGGCCAAGAGTCACTGAAAGGTGTCTAGTAGCCCGTCGAGCACACTGTCGATGCGATGTTGGACCCAGCTGCCACACACGCACCGGCAGGAGTTGAAGCACTGATCCACGTGCTCGTGTTGGCTGAAGTCTAAGGTCCAGGAGTATTTCCAGAAGATAGCTGCGGAAATAAGCTTAATTACCTTCTCTTCATTTCAGCTTCGTTTCAAGTTCAAATTGAGTGGAGCCAAGTTGCTCATTACTTCAACTGCGCGTAATTGACTTGGCAACGGCCATCATGAAAACACGTGTGCCGGCTGATCGAGCCTTCTACAACTTGCGCCGAAGTACGGTGGGCTGACTAGCTACGCTTGAGGGAATGCTGCGTCACCATATATGTATGGTTGGAACGAAGAACGATTATATCTGTTCGTTTACGACTATAAGGCGCCGTGGTTGAAGGTTCACTAAAGAGCGAAATAGTTTCTCAAGTAATAATAAACTAACATTACAGCGAAATCTGTTAAAAGATCACATCTTGGGTCACGCGCGCGCGGCGCCGTAGTTGTCCGCCGCGGCCACCAGTTTCAGTTCTCGCTTCAAACGAAATCAGAAAAAAACACCTAGTAGCAACAACGCACTTGGCATCCAACCCGGGTCCGCTGCGTGCGAGCGCTGTATTGTACCCTCAGCCCCGCCGGTGCCTGAGACTAATTCGCAAACTTGCCCTAGGCCAGCCTAATGTGGGGAAAGGAATCGTGTTAACATGAGTAACAAAGTGTTAAAGAACTGCAAAATAACAACCAGGTGTCACACAATCCAAATAGCATAACGAGTGGGTCGTCCAATGCTCCAAACCATTAAAGAAGCTTGTTCTTGTTTCTCTATTACCTGTGGTGCATACCCACTTCAGGAACAATTCCTCGGCGTCATCAGCCACTGCATGAACAATTGGCACAAACTGCCCTGCAAGTGTTTAGTGGACGCCACACTTTTAAGACCAATGGCGAAGGATAGCATAGCGATTGCCGTCCTACTACCAAGAAATTAATAAAATTAATGTGGTAGTGGGTACCCAATAATTGTGCTTGCAGCAGTTTCCGAATGAGTGTTTAGAAAAAGCTCCGAAAAGGCGCTAGTCTAGCTCTCAATATGACTGTGCAGCACCTTCCGCGCAGGCATGGCGTTTTTTCATCATACCAAAAACACTGCGCTTATGTAGTTAAGACGCTTAGCACGAGAGGAAACACGCCGAATTGAAGCATAAATGATGCGGCCACCTTGAAGTTCCCCCAACCTTCGCCCTAACTACAAGTATCATCATGATCCCAACTAGGTTTTATGTAGTTGCAAATCAATCGAAGGTGAACTGTCCTCTTCGGGGGCCTGAGCCATTTCATACCAAGTTTTAGCAAACTGTTTAAAGGGAATGACACCCAAATACAAGTACCGCTTAAACAGTTGACGTCACGCACGAACATTATAGCATAAAATTTGAAAACACGATTGTTTTACCTACATTTTTAATATCAAACCTATGATGTTTAAATGAAGGACATTATCGCTTCTGAAATACAGTCAATCAGTCCAAACTGTTTCACTCTTTATCTCTACAGTGTGCCTTCAAAGTGAAGGGGCCCTTTCCCATAGTGAGCACCTTATAAACTACCTCAAAGGACCATTGGACCCCTTAGTATACACGCTGTATAAGGAGAACACTTTGAGTTTCACTACCAATTGCGAATATTTTGCTACCTAATCATGGGGAGTCGGGTAGTGTTGTAAACTGAAATGGAAAAAAAGTCGGCTGCAGGAGGCGAAAGTCAGCTGCCCACTTGAAAATGCCTTAGGTTATACTACGGGAGACAAGACGTCGAGCAATTCATAAAGAGCTGCAGTGTGAAAAACACGCATTAATTTACCTTGACGTAATGAGCGACGTGCACTGAGACCACGCACGTTGCGCCAAGGAATAGCGGTATCCTATACACGATAGTATGAACACATGTGACGACTCCTTTCTTGCACTTTCGACTTTTCCTGGTTCCATTCACTCGACCACTGTTGAGGCACATGGAAAAAGTCAGTTCACGTTCGCAATATGGCGACCTATATGATTGGATGCTGGGCGCTTCGAGTGCTGATACGGTAAACGCTTTGTTGAACTCAATCGTGTTAGCTCCGAAAGCACTGTTGTCAAGGTCGCCTTGGTGGGAGAGCTCGAGTGTGAAAACCATGGGTTCCTTGTTATGCACCCTGTGTGCTCTTGGAATCATTGAAATGTGGCTGCCTCATTCAGGAATCAAACCATTGACGAGGTGTGCGAGGAAACTGTTAGGTTAGTTTACCGTGTTCTCCACTAGATGATCGTGATGAGCAAACAAAATTTTGATGTTTGGTTGGTTTGGCAAAACCGCGTCTGTTTGCATGTCCGCAAATGTTTTGGTACCATTCTCTCATTGTTTCGAAACACAGAGCACATGTGAAATGCGAAATTTATTTTGATAAAATGTAGGGTCCTTCACTGTGCCGCTATAGCTGTATTGAAACAGTCGCTTGAAGCACACAAATCGACCAGTTATACACAGTGAGAACATTTGTACGGCTTGCGTGTGTAGCGCTTACGGTGCTCAGCTGCCGATCCGAAGGTGGCGGTTTCTCTGTCAAACGCGGCGGATGCATTTCGAAGGAAGTGAAAGGGTGGAAGCCCGTCTACGGCGCGATGTCAGTGAATGTTAAAGGCAACGGAATGTTCAAAACTTCCGTACACTGAAGTATGGTGATCCTCATAAGATACCGTACTTTGTAACATTAGACACCAGACATCATCATCATCATTTTTTTATATTGCAGAGCTCCTTGTTTCGAGTAGCAGTTAAAAACATTAGATATTTGGCTAAAAAAAAAAGACACCCCGCTATCTTCGATATATACAATCATTCTAGGGAACAGAGAAGTGCCGGGTGACTGCTGCTTCGCAAAACATCGTCAACGCGTTGTGCAGCGCGTGCTGTTTCCACCTGGTCAGCCACTCATTGTGTCTTGAGATAAGTGAAAAAAAAATAAAGGCAGCTTTGCCGGAACAGTGCCAAGCTTAAAATATGTGCAGAGCTTGGTAGCCTTTGGGTTTGTCTTCATTTTTCTCTAAGATTCTTCCACGCTTTGTCTCGCTTTTTTACGAGTTTTTTGTGTGTTTTTACTTCATTTACAATAATTTCTCCTGTTCTTCATATTACACCCTTTTCTGTATTCACTATATATATCTCCTTTTCTTCCTTTGAATTTTCATACGTTTTTTTGTGTTCTCATCCTCTTGCAGGTATAGTAGCAATGTCTCCAGTTTATATCATAACTAAGGCACTCTATGATGAAAAAGAAGAATACTTTCTTGGCACGAGCACGCACTCAGTGTGACAAAGCTGGTTTTGCAGCGTAGCGTCAAACGGCGATGACCGTATACAACCACCTGATCTGTTAAAGTTCTCCACTCTGAATAAAGAAAACCCCTGACGCGCCGGTGCCATTGGTACACCTCAATGACGACTCACACCTGCGACAGACGACCAAAAAGCTATTCCAGCCGACATTTGTTTGCTCTCCTGTGCGAGCCACAACCCGCCATGGTGGCCTTGAGGCTAATGCACTCTGCTGATCACGCGCAGGTCGCGGGATCGAATCAAGGCTTTGGGGGAGTATTTGCGATGGAGGCGGATATGAATGTGGCCTGGGTGCTTCTTTCAGGTGCACGTTACAGAGCCTCAGCGTGTTACCATTTATGGAGCCCTCCACTACGGCGTCTCTCATAATTGTATATGGTGGTTTTAAAACGTTTAATTAAAAGTATTGATATCGTTACTTCTCGAGCAACAAAGAACTCACGTCTGCTAATTTATGATTTTCATTGACACGGCACCTTGTATATGCTTACGTCATGTTCCTACTCGTGTGATTGGTTGAAAGGCTCTCGATTGCAGTCCCGCGACTGAGAAATAAATCAAGCAGCGAGTGAGTGAGCCGAATCAGTCATTACGCAACCAAAGGAACCATTTGTGACCAGCCGCACTGCGACCTAATTGGTCCTACCACCGGTACCAGTCACAGGTGTAACTAACCTTCAATCTGCAGCGTAATATAGTGGAATGTCCAGGGTGCTTACTGATGTTCCAGACACTCTGAGCAATTCCCTTCGTCCAACCCAATGAAGGCAAAGTGAAGAAGTTGGTGCCGATGTCCAAGTAGTATTCCTTGAACCACTTTTTGCGCACCGAGTTATACTGCGTGCGTGCTTGAGCTGCGCTAAGCGGACCCCGCACGGACAGCAAGCTCATGGCGATGCCAGTGCTGCCGGAGGGTTCAGGCTTCGGCCCCTGCACGTATTGTACAAATAATGGTCAACGTTTAACCGAGACTATACAAGTTGGAGAAAAAAGATGAGCCTCAACCTATTGGTGACATGTAAATTAATTACTAAATGACCTCTACTGAGTAAGATGAGACAAGGAATATAAAGCACGTTTTTGTGCCGCTACGATGTTTGTAGAATATCACAATGACGCCAATCAGATTTCAAATTTTAAAGGGGTACTGACAAAAAATTTTGGGGCCGAGATAGCCTGCAGGGTTGGTTCTCGTGAACATTAGTATATCATCTGCAAGATATCAAGAGCGAGTATAGCTTAAAAGGTATTTTAAATTAAATTAATTTTGAAGTTTCCGTGAGCGACCGACTCCAACGCGCTACAGACACTAACGAAGGTGACCTCGAGGGCACCTCCTACTTCCCTCACGTCACCACGATGCGGTCAACGAAACAAGTTATGATGACGTCATAGCCGCCATTTTTCTTTTGCCGTGTGAGTTCCCGAAGTCTATATTTCTGGGTGGCTGGTTGAGAGTGCGTGGCCGTGGCGCACACTTAGAAAGTCTTGTGTTTGGCGACATTCCAGTCTCGTGTCCTATTCAAAAGTAATTCTTGATGCGGACCATGCGGAAGTGCCTCACAGTTCTGTGTGCTGACGTGGTCTAGAGTTGCACACTCTAGGTGGCGACAGTTGCACCCTGTTTTTGGTAAGACACGTTGCCAGGCTAGTTGGTTGGGGTTCATCAATTATAAGAGTATAGCGCACAACGACAAGGACACAAAAAGAGAGACGCACACAGAGAGCGCCAACTTGCAGCTATTGTTTGATTTGCGATCACGCATGCTATTTATAGAATAACAGTGGACCGATAAAACCTGGAAGATATCTTTTTAAGATACAGCACACCTCATGCACACGTCATCATCAATCGCGACAATATGAACTCGCCAACTTCAAAGTGAAGATTCCAGATACCTCATTTCTTTAGTTGACAAAGCTATCGAAGCCACACTCACACATTCATCTTTCATTTTGTCAAGTTCAAAGGCTTCAATGATTTCACGTGTAGTTCTGTCACGGGCCCTAAAGAGAATACTGGTGTTTTGAAACACAGGGACACAACCACAGCTCAGACAGTCGAGGGCCCAATTTCGAGATATAGCCTTTTCTGCGTTGTATATGTCTTCTCTAAATCTTTCATTCAGGCACGTTTCAAATTGGCCAATGTACACGCAATTAAGTCAAAACAGTGCCATAGACAACACCACGACTACAATTCAGAATTTTTTTCTGGTGCTTGATCTTACACTCTCGTTTCCCGCAGCAGTCTGCGTTAACTTTTTTGCACAATCCTTGCAACCGTTCGGGAGCAGAAAGAACTACATCCGCACCAGCCTTTCTGGCTATCCTTCGCAAGTTACGCGAAATGGCTTGCATGTAGGGCACTACCGCAAACTTGGCTGCCTTAGTGACGGCTGCCTGGTCTCCGACGTTTGCCCTTCCTCTCCTGCTTATAGTTTTCGTGACGGCGGTTAAGGGGCGAATGGGATAACCAGAATCCAATAAACGTATAGCTTGAGCCCACAAGCTTTTATCAAGCTTGTGGTGGAACGACTTCACCAGTGAATTTTGAAAAACAGGAATTTATCACCGCACGCCTTACCAATTTTGAGTGAGTAGAAGTGAACGGAAGAACCAGTTTATTTTCTCGCGGTTCATAGCTCCAGCATACTCCTCCTGGCGAAAAATACAGCCTGAGGTCAAGGAATCTTATGAAATTGTCGTTTGGTACTTCATGCGTCAGCACCAGGGAAGATAACACTGTCAAGAACATGGTTAGAGTTTCTGTCACAACTGCGTCAAAATAGTTATGATTATTATTGGCAAGGACCAGATAGTCTTCTACAAATCTAAAAACAGCAATCACAACGGTGTGCTTCACACGCTCGTCAAGGACTTTAATACGTTTTGCAAAAACAGGTTGCTCAAGTACGGGGCTATGCAGGAACCTATACATATCCCGTTCTTTTGTTTCACAGTGTTCCCATTCCACGTCGCATAGGTCGAGTTAAAATAAAAGTAAAGGAGCTCTAAAAACTGTTCACTCGACACACAGGCAGTATTTTGAAATTGAAGCACACCTACTCTGTCGATACCTTCCGATACCCACAATATTAACTCGGCCTGAGGGAAGATGGAATAAAGATCTTTTACATCGATTGAAAATGCTAGAGTATTCTTGTTTTCTTTGCTGCGAAAAAAATCTAAACAGCCATACAGAAAAAAAACAGCCCTTACAGTTTTCGGAACTCTCTCAAGCCAAAAATGAAACTGATCAATAGTGAGAGGCCTGTCATTATCTGTCGAGTGCTGCAGCAAACGATGGTCATGACTAATAGCCCTAAAAACACGCATCGCAGCAGATAAACGCGAGGCCAAAGTTTTTGTGCCCGTACCTTTTTAAGTGTTACGCTAATGCATGAAAGAAAATGGTTTTTCATTTGGAAGCTTACAGTCCACTTAGTTTCCTGGTTAGGCTTCTGAAACTGCTAGAACTCGGTCTTCCCGTAACCTGGAGGCCAGAGGAGGTGCCAGGAAAATTAATACTGAGGCAAATACTAACACAGAAAGCGGCCGGTGATGCAACCTCAGAATTTCTTCGCTCTTTGTTTTGGACGCATCGCGCCGTATAAAGTCAACAGAATGCTACAATTGATCTAGTCATTTGTTATTTCAATATCGAGCCGTGCTGTGACACGTGATTACTTTGCAGAGATGTAAGATGCTCAAACGTGCAGCATTTGAAGGGGGGGGGGGGATTAAAACAGACGACAATGTGCCATGCCAGTTGAAGCACATGTAAGAGTTTGCACTGGTTCTTTTTATGGGCACGGGGCTCTACCTGCAGCTTTCGTTCTCACTTGACAGATGGGAGTACATTAATGTATATTGCGGGAAAAACACATAAAAAGGGAAGAGTCTCCCACATATGTGAATGTGAAACACAATGGGTACTAAACAGGGGTCCGGAGCACTGCGTAATGAGGACTTCTGCACACACTAAATGATCCCGATAGTAACCGAAACCCACTGTGCTATTGTGCCATTTCCCTTTTAAAGCCGATTTTAAGTGAGCTTTAATATGTGAGTGATACACTTGAACCACTAAAAAAACATACTACGTCCCCTGCGCCTAAAATACAAGGTCCCGAAGAAGAAAACAGGTTAAAGCTTACCAGAGAAACGGACGCCGACTCGAAACCTTGAACTGCTCTTCATCGTCGTAGAACTGTGGTCAAAATGGTCAGGCAGTCTAAGAGAACCTGAAACAGGACGTGACGCTTTGGCAAGCGGAAAAAACAAGGATTCTCTGACGAGACGCGATGGCTCAGCGATCGACAGGAAAGTCCTTGCCACGAGGATTTCACTGCGCGTGCACGTGGAGCAGGATGGTGGAGATAATGATGATTCTGGGATACTTGGAACTTAGCTACCACTCAGGGAGCACGGCAAAGAGTCAGATGAATAATATTTCAAAAAAATTTGGAACATTTTGACATAAGTGTGCCAAAAAATAATGCATTTCATTCTTCTTCATCGCTATTGTCTTCCTATCGGGGACTCGCAAACGTGGGTCAGCAAAGAGATCAGCGATAATCCACACAATCCTGTTGGCGTATACGTAAAGGGCCCGCCACGTTGGTGCAGCTTTTACGGTTCTCGGCTGCTGGCAAATATGTCACGTGTTCGATCCCGGCCGTGGCAGACGCATAACGATGCAGGCGAAGTGATAGTGCACCCTGTATATTGTGCGACGTCAGTGCTAGATAAAAAGCGACAGATCGTGCATATTTGCAGCTTACTCTACTAAGGCGTCTCACGAAATCATATTGTGTTTGATCACGTAAAAAACCAGATATAAACTATATCATTATCGTTGCAAATATTATTAACAACAATATCAATAATACTATCATTCCCATTAAACTTATTATCAATATGGTTGTTTTATTAGTACTTGATGTATATGTACACTCAATTGAGAACGTACAGTTTCATCGGTTTCACATTCATTGATTTCCCAAGCTGACAACGTGCTGGGTGATTACAGCGTGGCACGAACAAATGCACCACGTGAGGTGGACTACGTAGTCAAGTTATTATGGGTAATGTGATATCAATGCATCTGAATAACGATGATAGCCAATTCTGGCACTGCCAAACACGCGTTTGGATGATCTTGGGAAGAGGCTTTCACTAGGCCGCTGCAGACGCTGACATGCGCTGCAAGCAAAACGACTCCATGCGTCTTCCAAGCGAAAACAACCTAGGAAGAGAGTCAAGGTGATGGTGGAAAATTTTACCGTGGATGCCTCTGCGGTAATACTCAATCATCATTTATCTCACTGAAAAAATTATGTGTGGATTATATTTACTGTAGTGAAGAGGAATGCCCACTACTGCAGCTCGATCGCCGACACGTTAACAGTTTCGCAACATGCTCAGCTTGTACGACTCCTGAAGAAGTTATGTTTTTTCTTTGATGGCCTGCATAGTCCCCTCGGCCACTCGACCACCTCTTCAGACGTTTAGGTCACTACCATCAGCCGTACCACTGTGACCCACTCCTCAGTTCACTCAGACAAGGTCCGTCCAGAGTAGTGGACAATGGCGTGTTCTCGATAATCGGCCAATATGCTTTGCCTGAGGCCTACGTGGCCACATAGCGCAATACTGGCATCAGCGCATGCTTGTCTACCACCAGAGCTTCGAACCTGCCCCTTATGTGTCACCGCATCGACACGGGCACCAATGCACCACTGCGTCAAAGACGCTAACGCGTGTCCGCGACAAAGCGCCAGGTTATCGATGACCAAGTAGGTGGCATGCTTAAGCGTGGCGTCATTCAGCCTTCGAATAGCCCCTGGGCATCTACAGTCATTCTCGTTAAAAAGAAGGACGGGTTGATTCGCTTCTGTGTTGACCACCATCGTCTTAACAAAATA